CTTTGTATTAATAATTATAACAAACTAGTGGAGTAATTTCACAAAAAATAATTGAATATCAATTCAATAAAAATTTAATTAAATTGTTTTAATTAAGCATAAAAATGTTAGACAATTTAAAAATTTTATTGAAAAATTTAGGGACAGCCGAGTGTCAATAAAAAATAAAACATAATAATGTTACAATTTTTTTATGTTGGGTTGGGTTGGGTTGTGCAACAGGATTTGTACGTCTGGCGCATCTTGAGCAACTACTACAGGCGTGTACCTTACATCGATTGGCAAATCTTTTCACAACGGTGGCAAGCATTGTAGTATGCATTGCCATCGATATGATTAGAAAATTACTAATTTTTTAAAAACATTACATATTGATTGTAATGAATATCATGATGTTTACCACCATGACATTCATTTATGTTTTTAAATTACTCCAATTTAATGAAATTACTCAGCTCGATATAATTATGAATACACTGATCGAACACAAAGAAAAATTCCTCGAAACTGACAGGACTCGAGCCAGTGTCTGTTTTTGCCAATCTCGGGCAATCGCTCTATCAAGTGAGCAACAGATCGAGTCATCAGACCTTACGAATTTATTATGCGTTTGTTACAGATCTTCGTTTTTTGTTTTAAGGCGATGAGGTGCCCAAAATCGCTTAAATCGTTTTTGTGTAAGTTTTTAGGCGATAACATAGCACATGGAACTTTGAAAATAGTACATCCTGTACTACTCCAACAAACCAAACTTGCTTACTACCAAATTTGGTGTGGTTATTTAAATGGTACTTATCTTGATCCTGACACTTTATTTGTTTTAAATAAAAGACAAATAACAAATTTAGGAGTAAAAAGTAACTTTCGCCTACTAAGGTACGAGCTAAATATTTTTCTAAATAAGTTTCTTGTTTGCATAACATGTCCAGTTCATATATGCTTTGATATTTTTTGGTTTGATAGCATGTGTGTATTTTAAGTACAATGCCATCTGTTAGCGGCAATCAATATTATGTTAAATCAAGCGGAAAGTCCAACTACCATACTCTTACCGCATCGAGGCGTATGGCGCCTACCTACTACCTACATACCTTATTGGAGAAATTATAGTAGGCGCGTTATCGCTCAAGGTCATCGACGCTTGTCAGCGTCTTAACGTCTTTTTCGTAAATTAAACTACACACTTAGCCTTTACACTGTGGTCTATAGACTTACAATAAGAACGTTCCATAACCAACACGTGCCACAAGCAGGGGATAACGACTTAATACTCCTATGTTGCGAATATTCCCAGAATTCGCACGGAGCGGACACTTTTATACGGCGAGCGGTTAGGGAGTAGAATTCTCTGCCAGCGGACTTGTTCCCTTGGATATTTTCAAGGGGAGAGTGTATATGCATTATTTAGATGTGCATGCTACATCGTAGACCTGATCGTCACTTTCCATTAGGTGAGATGGAGTTCAAGTGCGCACTTATTTTTGTATTTAAAAAAAAAAATAATTACAATAAGAATGACCCACAGTACGGAGTGTAAAGGCATTGGGCAGCAACAGAATTGCGCTGCTGACTTTACATACTATGTGGTAACGAAATAAAAAAATTACCAGCTGCTGTAGGCGATTGTACGGCTGGCTTGTTAGTAGTGTCGCTCATCGTCTCCTTGGCGGGATCCATTGAGTGTCGCACTTTTGTCGTCGTCTGTAAATGTAACATTTTGACAAGTCAAGGTTTCAAAATCTACATATTTAAAATCTATATTTAGTCTGAAACCGTATATACGTTAACGTAGCGTCAAGCGCTCTCTGCTGGTATTTCTGGGTAACACGTGACAACCCCATGAAAAGAAGGAATTTAGATTTTTAACAGCAATTTTATTAATCAATATACCTCTTCAAAATTCTCCAAAACGGAGATTTTATTGCTGATTGATGAAGTGCTCCTTGACATTTCCATCGAATGCGACGCGCGTTTGTCCTCTAATCCGCAGTCTAGGATTCTGTAAACAGAGTTCAAAAGTGTTTTTTAAGATGTCATTTTATGTACAGAATTATTTTTACAATACTAACAACCTCACAGGACTATATTACTAACATCATAAACTACAACTTTATTCCATGACTTTTTCAAAACATAATGAATTCATCAAAAACAAACATTTAGATATTTTGTTCTACTATCTGACACTCTTTTTAGATCAGTATTTGGTAGTAAGTAAAAACGTGCAAGCGCCATCCTCCCCGGTAACCCTTACCCCCGCTATTGCCTTTCGCATGGGACTCGTATTTGTGTTTATGGTTTATGACCTTTTAGAGGGATCTATTTAAATATTTTTATTTTTTGAATTATTAAGTCATGAAATATAGTCCTGATAGCTTGTTAATATTTTACAAATAATCAGGGTTATATGAGTGTAAAAAATGTAATAGGAAATTTTAAAAAAAGAAACGAAAGAAAACGACAAAAAGTAAATTATTAGTTCTACCGCCGTACATTAAACTTATGCATTCGTTACCAGCTTTGTCGATGGGGTGGACTGCCCACCAAAAGTAGTTTAATATCCCACCAATGATTAATACTGTAGGCGTTGGATAAGAAGATCTCGGGTTCGATACACGGTAGGACAAATTTGGTAAATGAACTTTTGTAAATGGGTATCTCGTCTAGGTAGCCCCCGGAGAGAATTTTGTTGAGCTGCTGGTACTCATATTCTCCTATAGACATATATAAGTTTGAGACCAAATTCTATTTATTTATTGCAAACGGTGTTGGTAAAGGCATTACACAGGTAATTGCTAAGTAAAAGAGTCTATGAAGTCTCACAGACTGTAAGTACGCATAGGGCGCACTATAGGTTTCCGGAACTGACCACTTACATAAACAATTTTAAAAAGTAATTACGACATTTGAAAATGGAACTCTTTGGATGTAGAATACAGTTTGTTTCATCTGACTGTCACTTGATTTTTTTTCATGATGGTTGCCCGTCCACTGCTGTGAACAACAAAAACATCGATGCTGTGCGCCGTATGATCAAAACAGACAGGCATGTGACATACCACGAGATTATCTTTAGGCATAGGCATGAGTCAAATACAATAAATACTACACAAACATTTGGGTGTGAAAAAGCTGTGCTCTCGGTGGATCCTACACAACTGGACTGAGGGTCAAAAAACGGATCGCGTCACTTGGTGCAATGTCATGCTTACGAGATTCAACGAAGGGGCGTAAAATTTGGTGTGGGCCGTAGTAACAGGTGACGAAACATGGATCTATAGTTACAATCCCAAAACAAAGCAGCAATGGAGCGTATGGGTCTTTCGAGATGAGACGAAAACAACCAAAGTGGCGAGCGTGCAAAGTGCCTTTAAGCGGATTATTGCTTCTTTTTTTAATAAAACTGGACACGTGGCTACTGTTGCTTTGGAGAATTGTGGTACCGCGAATAGTGATTAGTTTACCGGAAGTTATTGACCAACTCCGTAAAAATAACCGTAAACGCCGTATCATCTTGCACCACGATAATGCCAGTTCTCGCAAGGCCAGACAGACAAATTAATTTTTGGAAGTGAACAACGTTGACCTTATGAGTCATCCCGCGTACAGTTCCGCCCTGGTACCTTGGGTCTTTTATTTATTTCCAAAAATTAAGAATCAGTTACGCGGTCAACGATTTTCATCACCCGAAGAGGCTGTCGAAGAGTACAAAAAATATGTTTCACAGATTGTCACGGAGGAGTGGCATAAATGTTTTCAAAATTGGTCCATTCGCATGAAAAAGTGCATTAACGCTAACTTAGAATATTTCGAGAAACAATAAATTCATTTCTGACCATTTATAGTATTTTTTTCTTATTCATTCCGGAAACTTATAGTGCGCCTTACGTAGCACCCATTTATCAAAAGAGACTTTAATTTGGTTTTGAATATGTTGTCATTTTCTTCTGTCTTAAGGGAATCTGGTATTTTATTATAAGTTAATGTACATCTATAGAGCGGGCTTTCTCTAAACATTTCTAATTTCGGAGTAAGTAGTAGTAATTTTATTAAAAAAACATGTTTACCTGTCAGTGCTCCCACCACCGGTTTTGCTAGCAATGCCACTCTCCGACGACGAAGTGACGGAGTGGGACTTGCCATCCGCACCGAAGCTGCTCTTCCTCGCTTGGTTTAGTTTCAACTCTGCCATCCATGGCGCCTTGTGCTTCTCCCACTCACGTGTACGAGGTTTTATTTCTTCGGGTTTCTCCTTTTCTTTCTCAAGTGCTGGTTTCTCAGCTGTAAATTTAAAACATAAACTTACGAGGTATACCAGATATCCGCCACTGCACATGTTTTAGAAGATTATAGATGAAAATAAATACAAAATTGAGGGGTGAATTGATAGATTGATTGGTTATTTATGTGTAAAACATTGCACAAGTAAGAAAACTTCAAAAGTTCTTATTTATATATTATACAGGGTGTAAATTTGTGACGGGGCAGCACGGCCAGACACGTTCACCGTTGTAATTACAGAAAAACGGTTCTAGAAGACTATCCATGAATTTTGAAGATATTTTGATTGGCATTCACAGATTTTGGAAAAATGGTACAGTCAGCAAGATAAAAGGCAACTTTTACAAAACTTTTTTTTATGCCGTTCGATCCGGTCTCTGTTAAGGATCAATAGTCTCTATGGGACCAACTGAGGTAAGAGTACTCGAAATGTCAGAAATCGCAAAAAACTTTTTTCCATACATTTTGAAAGGACATATTTAGTAATCAGTTATTCTAGGTAGTTAAGGAAACTAACAAATTGATAATACCGTTGTTCAACCTAAAATTAACCTAAAAAAAATGTAAAACTTCTTCATAAATAAAATCGATTGTTATAAGAAATGCAACTCGGTAACAATTAGGTTATTATCACTAATTGAGTAGTAGTCGAGCTGTCAATGGTAAAATAAATGGTTGGACGAAATATTCTGTTTCAATAAATTATAAAAATATTAATTTCTAATATGAATGCCATTTAAATACAGCATACACAAATACAAATATCCGGTGAAACATGAACTTGAACTGCAGAAAAAATCGTGAAAATGTGTTAATAATGCTAAAATAATAATTTATACCCAAATTTATACGGAATACAAAGACATTTTGTGCATTCCATAATTTTTCACATAGGGCGTAAGATTTTTGAAATAGTATACATTTAAGAACTCTTCAAATGTGCTCAGTAGTCCTAAAAACAAAAAATGGAACTTTTAACACGTTTTCTGTATTTTTTTTGCAAATGTAAGTCACAGTTTCATTGGATGTGCGATATAACATAAGTTTTGTAAATAAAGATAAGATAAAGAGCTTTGAATGTAAAACAGATTTCTCGGGTAGATGATTTTGTGCCAATTACTAAATGGCGCTGCAATAGCTTTAAAATAAATTTATTTGTTCAATTGCAGCATTCATTTGTTTACCTTCGTGTCCATTGCTGAGGCCAATTTGTTGTGACACATCGTCACGTTGGGGTTGACTAGGCGGTCGACGACGAGGCGCTTTAACTCTGAGATAGATCAAAATAATTCAATTAAGATTTTTAGATACATTGACGGGTATAAAACAAGAAATCTACATGTAATAAATATTCCCTTTTTAAAAAAGACAAACATTTGAAAATTAAGCTAGTTTTATTTATCTTTTACGCACCTCTTTGGGTCTTTTTTATGCACCTCTTTGGGTTTGAATTTTATTGTACGTACTGCAAAATAGTGCCAGTCTGTGCGCACATTATACGATTGTCACACCAATACCACATTTTTCCAACAAGCCTTTTATAAAATTTCACAAATTGTCTTCTAGCAAATGTAGTACGTATTGTCAACGGACGGGACGCATGTAGATGTAATGAAGATCTGAAGAGGTATGTCTGTCTAACAGTAAGTAATAGCGACAAGGGAGGAAATCCGCCATGTGTTTACCTGCCGGCGCGCGGGTCGTTGAGCATAGAGTTCCGCTCGACGTGATCGAACGTGTTGGTAGGTTGCGACGCCTTGCTGGGCAGCGCGCCATCCAGCCGGTCCCACTCGCCGCTGCTCGAGCTGCCGCTGCCTGTGGACGTCACCGTCGCCATCGACGCTGCTGTGTTCTTCTCTCTACAAACAACCAAAACGCTAAGTCATTTAATCAATTGTTTGCTGCACTGCATAGTGCCTACACCTTGTCCAGAAGGAGCGAACTCGCCATGTATCGTCTCACGCGTACACGATCGTACGGTGCCTCCAGAAGAAGCGTTTGAGGATAGATTCGGTCAGTAGTAAACATAATTTGAGTTCGATTATTTGATTTTGAGTATTTAAGATGCCTAAATTACTTTGTAAATTCAGTCACTAATTTCAGAAGTTTAATTTTTATACCCGTAAAATTTATAGGTATAAAAATATTCATCCATACTCGAGGTAACGAAACGGACAGGTCTGTAATACCATTTTATAGGCCAATTTTCTTACGGAAATAACAACTATAGTAGGCTGTTTATTAACTATAAGCAAACCTATCAACCACTAGGACCCAACAAATAATGACTACAGCTTTATTCATAATTTCTTTTTTACTGCGTATGTGGGACTAAAAAACTGAAAATCATTAAATTTTTGTAATAAATTTCTGAAGAAAAATGTTTACAGACCCTGCTTGTTTGTTTACCTCATTCGTAATGTTAAAAAACGAATATAGAGGAAGGAAAAAATAAACTAAGATTTCCCTAGATACGTGCACTCGCTTTGAAGTTCGCGCGTAACGTGGATGTAACCAAGAAGTTCCTAGTATCCCGACTCGCGTGAGTCACGCGCGTGTTGGAATCTAGCGTAATGCATGCGAATTACGCGCGTATTTTGAACCCGCACGATGCTTGTGGACGCGATGTATAAGCGTCCAAGTACCTCACCTCGCGCGTATGAATACGCGCGAGGCGATACGCGGCGAATTCGCTCCTTCTGGACAAGGTCTTACGTAACATATTCTTGAATCTTACGTATTTTGTATGTACATCTCAGATGAAACAGTGGCCGAATGTGTGTCTGTATAATATTAAAATTATCGTTTATGTAATACAGATACACACTTGGCCAAAATATGTACGGACTACGGCACACCAGACTACACATTTTTGTTTGAAAATCACCTCCAGTGCAACGGAACAAGATACGCCAATGTGTAACTTGAAGTGCTGGCGTGTGTACAATATATTAGGGGTTAAAGTATGAAATTGCCGTTTTATTGCAATAGGTT